CGGCAGCCGGGCCCCACCCAGATCCGGTCGTAAGTGCCACATGCCCCTCCTCTTCTCGCTCCGTTGCTCCAGGGGAAGAGAGACAAGATGGTGTGCATTGGCTGGACACCTGCAAGCATTTATTTAGGATCGTAGGCACAGAACATGGAAGTAGCAGGCGGCATAGAGGCACTGAAACATGCGATTAGGCCAATTACGGCAACTGGGACGGCCTATGAAACCAAGCTCCCAACCAAGAAACACAAACTGCCCGCAGGCCTCTGGTTCTACGGAACCAACCTCAGCAGCTCCGTTTTCTTCCTTTTAGTTTTGTCTAGCTCACAGGCATATTTATCAGACCGCCCGTCAGTGCAGTTTTCTACAGAAGTCCAGCCTGTTGACAGCCTCAAGGGTCTGAGGTGCAACCTTACCTTCATCCGTGTGATCGTCCCAGCGCCCGCAAGTCCCTTCCCCTCTTCCTTCCACCCTTGATAATGACCAACAAATGCTATTCTCTGTACATTTGTCCTTCTCTGTAAGATTTCTATAGACATATGCATAGAGTTCAGTTATTTTAGTTTTTTGAGACACTACCCTTTTACCTGTCCACCAGCAGTGGCAGGATGCCAGTTCCTCACTTCCTTGCCAGCATGTGCTGTTTTCTGGTTGTTGATTTTCCCAAGCCATCTTAGAGTGAAATGGTATCAAACTGTGCTTCAGATTTGCATCCCTGATGGCTACGGAGGCTGAGCTTCCATTCATGAGGTCCATGGCCATCCGGATGGCTTGTTGGGCGACATCTCTTGTCAAGTGTGCTGCCCATTTTATGTTTGGGTTATTTATCTCTTTGTTCTTACACTATTAGAGGTTTCTAAATATTTTTGGCTATTAGGTTCTTGTCGGATGTATGATTTCTGAAAATAGTCTCCTAGTCAGAAGCTCATCTTTTCGATTTTGGAGGGAAGACTTTGGATGGACTCAAGTTTATTGTTTTCACGAGGCCCCATTGACTTGTGTTGTCTTTTGCTCTGTGGGCCTTTGTTGTTCTATTGCATCGTCCACTGGGAAAAGCTGGGCCTGCCAGCATTGCCCAGCTTGTTCTTCTGAGAGGGCTAGGGCTTTAGTTGGCACAATTAAGCCCTTCATCTAATACGAATATGTCTCTGTGTATGGTGGGAGTCATGGATCCTCTTTCTTTTTTTTCCCTGCCTATGGAAACAGGATTTCCCCAGGACCGTTTATTAGAGAGACTCTTCTGTCCCCATCGAGTGGACTCAACACCCTTGTCAAACATCAGTTGACCACAGATGTGTGGTCCCTCACTTCTACGCCATTGTCCCATGCGTCTATTGCTGTGCCAGTGCCAGGCTGTTTTGATGACGGTAGCTGTATCAGATGTTTGAAAATCAGGAAGTGTGTTCCCTACTTTCTCCTCCTCTCTTGACACTGCTTTAGCTCTGTGGGGGCTCTTGCCCTTCCTGGAGCCTCCCTTTTGACATTGTAACTGAATGATATGGGGTGTTAGAAGGCAAGGGGGCCTTTGCAATAAGGAACAGGGAGTGGAAGGGAAGGGCAAGGGCTCAGAGTGGTGGTGGTGGGCTCAGAGCCCAGGGGGTAGGTAGAGGGCTGGCTCAGAGCCGGGGTTGAGGACAGACTCTCTGAGTGGAGAGGGTCTGGGTGAACCAGCATCTTGGGCATGGTTGTGGGAGTGTGTCATGGCAGTCACTCCACAGAGGGCAGCATGGTGATGTCTGTGTCACAATTACAGTGCACAGACAGTGGGACACCGTGGTTAGACTCATGCAAATTAGCCCTGCAGCTGGACTCACGCCCCTGCTAAAGAGTGGACCTATAAAAAGATCCATCAGCGATACCAGGAGAATAAGGGGAAAGTGGGGGGAGAAAAGGGGAACCTATCACAAGGATCTATATAAACACCCCCTCCCAGGGGGACGGACAACAGAAAAGTGGGTGAAAGGAGATAGCGGTCGGTGTAAGTCATGAAAAAATAATAATTTATAAATGATCAAGGGTTCATGAGGGAGGGGGGCAGGGAAGGAGGGGAAAGAATGAGGAGCTGATACCAAGGGCTCAAGTAGAAAGTAAATGTTTTGAAAATGATGACGGCAACAAATGTACAAATGTGTTTAACACAATGGATAGATGTATGGATTGTGATGAGAGTTGTACAAGCCCCCAATAAAATGATTTTTAACAAAAATATCCATCAGAGCCACGTGTGCATGGCAAAAAGACTAGACACAACTCACTGCCCACCAGTAGAGAACTAATTACATGTATTCTGTTTGGAATACTAAGCACAGAAGAAAACAATCTGTTCTGATAGAAAACGCACTTCAAGACACGTTGCTAAGAGAAAAGTAACCAAGGCACAAAATAGCATGCATCTAGGATGCTTCCCCAGGTATAAAAGAAGAGGCTGCAGGATGTCTATCTGTAGATGATCCCTGGAAAGAGGTTGAAGAATCCAGTAGGCACAGCGGGAAGTGGAGAGGTGGGAGCTGGCATGGGAAGAAGGAGCCTTTGAAAGATGTCCCTTTTGTATTTTCAGAATTTTGAACCACATGAATCTATTATCTAATCCAAATAATAAATTGTACCATTTTAAAATGTGTCAGGTTAGTGGTACCTCTTCCGGGTTCTCTAGAGAAGCAAGACCAATGAAGTTTATGATAGAGAGCTATGTTTATGTCAGGAAGATAGGCCCACACCGTTTTAGAAGGGAACAAGTCCAAGTCTAGGCAGGTTCTAAATCTGTGGGTCATCTGTTAGGCTGCAGGCTTCTCCTGACTTGAGTGGCTCTGCAGGCTGGTGAATCCAAGATTGGCAGGAGCACCGCAGGCTGGTAGCTGCAGGGACAAATGAGTGGCAAGGTCAGCAGGTCAGATGGCAGGTTAATGATGACTCCCAGGATGATCAGGCAATATGGCCATTGACTCAAGTCCAGAGAACCAGAGGTCAATGAGCCAGACGCAAGATCCAGACCCAGGAAAACAAACTCCCCTACAACATCCACTTACATCGAAAGCAACCCACACTCCTGGGGCTTCAAGCATTCCATCCCATTCATATCCCGCTGTGGAGGTTTACCCCTGATTGGCTGTGATGACATGGTGTTGGGCCAGGTCATCGGAGATTACTAGGTGTTAACTGCCAAACCACCGGAGAATCCTGACCCTGCCAAGTGCACACAGAACCTTGACTATCACAGTGCCCAGGCAGCCAGCACACCCGTCTTCCATCTGCTATTGAACTGGCACCACGTGGTTCATAGCTGCCCTCTGTCTGTACAATTTCCCTTGGCCAAAGGGGGCACCCCTGATCAGAAGGTGATTCCTCCCTCTGTCTCCCAAGGGCAGCCCACCGCAGTGGATGACTTTCATAGGGCTACCAAAGGTCAACCCCTTGCTTTATTCTACCAATCAGGGACGCCTTTCACACCCCAGAGCTACAGCCTGGCTGAAGCAGGCCTCCAGCTGAGACCACATCCCTCTACCCAGTTGTGCTGCCCGCCTTCGCTTCCTTAAAGGGTACTCCTAAAGAGCCAAATCAAACTCACTACCCCCGAGTCGATTCCAACTCATAGCGACCCTTTGGGCAGAGTGGAACTGCTCCTGTAGGGTTCTGAGGCTGTAAATCTTTACAGGGGCAGGGAGCCCCATCTTTTTCCCTCAGACCAGCTGATGGGTTTGAACCACCAGCCTTGTGGTTAGCAGCCCAAAACGTAGCCCACTACCCCACCAGAGCTCCTCCTGAAGATCAGTCCCTCTAAGTCACATTCACCCGATTCCTTGCCTCGGGCTCTGCTTTGGGGAACGCTGTCTGAGACCCTCTTTCAAAGAAAGAGCATTCACAGGGGCTCCGTCATTCCCTTGCGTGCGTCAGTGTCATGTACCAGGAAGAGAGGACTCCGGAACTCTCCCTGGGCACACCCGAGGGATGCAGACACTGGACCCCAGTTCACTAGGGAAGCAAGCCTGCGTTTTCTCTGTTGCAATGTCGACTCCTGACTCCTGTGTGTCAGAGTGAAACTGTGCTCCACAAGGTTTTCAGAAATAGATCACCAGTAGATCTTTTTTCTTAAATCATTTTACTGGGGGCTCGTACAACTCTTATCACAATCCACCCATCCATCCATTGTATCAAGTACATGCATACATTTGTTGCCATCATCATTCTCAAAATATTTTCTTTCTACTCGAGCCCTTGGTCTCAGCACAATTTCCCCTCCCTCCTTGCACCCCACCCCCCTCCCCACTCCCTCACGAACCCAGGTTAATTTTTTTTTTTCATGTCTTACACTGACTGACATCTCCCTTGCCCACTTTTCTATTGTCCGTCCCCCAGGGAAGGGGTTCTATGTAGATCCTTGTGATCGGTTCCCCTTTCTCCCCCACCTTCCCTCCACCCTCCCGGTATCGCCAACCAGTAAATCTTCTGAGTCAGCTCTGGGTGGATCAATCCTGCACCCTTTGGGGAGCAGCTGCTTGGGGGAACCGTTTGCACCACCCAGGGGCTCCTCGTGTAGAGAGGTCGCTGGCAGCGTCTCAGAGCCCGGATTGCCACTCCTGGCGTGGTTTCTACCACAGCCCTTGAACCTGTGTGCAGAGGTGGACGAGTGGCCGAGGCTAGTGGATTCAGACAGCAAGCCACTTAGGTGGCCACACACTTGAGGTGTGTGGGATGCCATCCCGACTCCCTTGGGACCAGGTGAGGGGTTTGGGTGACTGCTTGCTTCCAGGGACGGGAGTCTCAGTGTCTGACGAGGCAGCCTGCTGTGTCTGTGGACAAGGCAGAAAGGTTTCCTCTGCCGTTCTAAGTGGTGTGAATGGAGCCAGCCCGAGCACAGAATGGGGCTCCTTCTGCCTAAGGGTTCCCAGTCTGCTGGGCCCCGTCTTGATGCTTCAGGCCCCTCAGAGCACTCAGCTGGGCCTCCCAGCGCCCGGGCAGCCCTCTGACCACATTGTAACCAGACTCCCCTCTCTCTGTCTCTGTTCCAGTTTGATGGTGACAACGCCTACGTGGGGATGAGTGACGGAAACCCAGAGCTTCTGTCGACCAGCCAGGTGGGTGCCCGAGCTCCCTGAGTGTGTCCCAACAGGGCCTGGCTGGGCCTGAGCCCCCTGCTGACTCATCTCAGCTGGACCGAGTGTCCAAGGTGTGGCCTTGAAAAGGCCACCCACGCTGGGACTCTAATCAGCTCCCTGGCTGATGTCGGCTTCCAAATGCAAGTCGCATGACATTTGAAGCTGGAGGGTGGGCTCCGAGGGGGTTTCAACAGTGGGTCCAGGTGTCACGGGCTCCCGTGCTGCTGCCCTCTGTGCGTGCCTCATACCTTGTGGTACCTGTGCACAGGCCCATGTAGCCTGGGCACACGGGGTCACACATCCATAGCTGGCAGATGGGTTTCCCCACCTGGCACATCCTGGTACTCTGGTGTGCCTGTGTATATGCCCATGCCTGGACACAGGGTCGCATGACAGTACGTGGCACACAGGTCTCTCAGCCTGGACCGTCTGAGCCCACAGGCTGGGCATGGCACAAAAGGGCTCCTCGCTGTGGTGAAGAGGCCAAGTCAGCACTGAACAAGGCTGTCCCCAACCCAGTTCTCTGGGGTCCTGGGCCCAGATGCGAGCTAGAACCACATCACCTCCTACATTCCTGGACTCTGAGGACCAGGATTTCCTTCTGCTCGGAGCATCTCTCTAGACTCTGGTGCCAAGGAGTGAAGGCCTGGGTGGCCCCCCAGACAGAGAGGGCCCCCACTCAGGCTGGGGTGTTAGAGAGGATCCCCACTCAGACTGGGTGCCAGGGAGGGTTCTCAGTGCAGGCTGGCGACTGGGGGCCATCTCTGAAATCTGAGCTCCGGTGAAGAGGAGCCCCTGACAGCAGCCAGTGGGCCCGAGCGGGGAGGAGCTTCGTACAGGTGTGGTAGCCAGGTGTGTCCTCACTGCACGGTGTACAGCCTGCCCTGGAGCCAGCCTTCATGCCCTGCCTGTGTCGTCCTGGGGGATCTGCCAATCCACGCTGGGTGGACCGTCTTTGCAGCTGGGGAAGCAGAAGGCTGCCCAGGCCCCATTGGTGACCCTACTATGACAGGCCCTGAGGGGCCGAGGTGGATGGAGTTGGCGGCCCCTGGGGAGCCCCTCCAGGGAGGGGAGATAGAGTAGACCCTGTGGGGTCTAAGAGCTCCACTGCAGGACACTGCGCCCTCCTGCCCTCCCCCCACTACCCTGGTAGGACCACCATCCTGTGTCCCTTCTCTGGCCCATCGGTGGCTCTGGCAGGCAAGGCTCCAGGTCCTGGGAAGGCTTATTTGAGAAGAGGTCCCTGAGGTCATGTGATTGCTGGGAAATGTGATGGTCTCCACGGACCAGTCCGAATACCCTGAACATCTCCCCCGAACCTTTTCACCACCTTGACCTTGAGTTTGTCTGCATCCTGAGAATATGCCATGGAGGAGTCACGGGAGGGGGCAGGCATGGCTTTTTGGTCAACGAGGGAAAGTGGGAAGCAGTGGGTCCCAGGAAGCACCATCCTTTGGAGATGAGACTCGGGACTAATAAACGGCCCCAAGGCCGTCACCGCAGCACCTTGGTTGTTTACCAACACCCTGTCGTTGACCAGGCCCCTGCCTCCGAGGCGATTCCAGCAGCCTGAGAAGTAGCAGGCACTGGCCTCACCCGGATGTTAGGGAGACCGGATGATAGGGAGACCGCTGAGGCGTGAGCATGTTGGCGGGCTCTGCCCAGGGAAACCCGCCAGGGATTAGACAGGCTTGCTTTGCTCTGGCCTCTCTGCAGAGAGCCCCACTCCCACCCCGAGGCCACCGCCACCTTGTGTCCCAGCTTCGGTATGACTTCCCACAACGCCTGTGGTGATCCCCAAATCCAAATAAGGCCCCTTCCCGTGATTCTCTGGTGGCAGGCACCAGGCCCTGCTAATCGCAAGCATCCTCTCAGGTTAGGCCAGCCTCTGGTCTCCCCTGTGGACTGCCGTGTACGCCAGTGGGGCATGTCATCTCACATCCTGGGGACGTGTTGTCAGGAGAGACCCGTCCCTGGAGAAGGACAGCATGCTTGGGAAAGTGGAGGGGCAGCAAAAAGAGGGAGGCCCTCAGTGACATGGGCTGACACAGTGGCTGCAGCCATGGGATCGGCTATAGGAACCATTGTGAGGATGGGGCGGGGCAGGGCAGGTCAGTGTCTCATCCTGTTGCACACGGGGTCCCAGTGGGCCGGCAGTGCCCAAGGGCAACAATCGCAGGGCCTGGCACAGAGGAGGCACTCCGGAAACAATTGAGGAACGAGTGAATGTGGCCCCTGCTCTTCTCTGGACTTCAGGGTCCCTAGCAGGGGAACGAGGTAGTTGGACTCCCCAAGGACACCCCCCCCCAGGGTCTCTTGTGCTGCCTTCCAGAAGGCCCCCAACTGAGGGCTTTATGAAGAAGACACGAGGATTCTCTGGGACGGGCCAAGTCCACTCAATGTGAACTGATCCAGCATGCAGTCCAGACTGCTTAGTTAGCTCTTGTTAAGTTCATTTCTGCATGGCAGCCGCCACCTTCCGCCCACCAGCACGGTGCCTTCATGCCACAGATACTTCTCTCGGTCAGGCTGCCATGGGTTGCCCATTTGGCTGGGTCAGCCGGGTGGCTCCTCCGGGCTTGGCAGGATTGCTTCGGTGGCAGCAGCCAGCTGCCTGGTCAGCCCTCGGCGGCTGCCTTGGGAGGAATGCAGCGAGCCTCTCGTCTCCAGCAGGCTAGCTGGAGCTCGTGTGTGTGGTCGGAGAAGGGCTTCCAGAGCGGACGTGGCAAGGCCTCTGCTTGGAACTGGCACGTGACGAATCCTGCACATTCCATTGGTCATACGCAGAGTCCAGATCGCACCCCACCTTGTGAGGTGTGGGGTACCAGACTTACCTGGGTGGTCTGGGGAGGAGATGCAACGTTTGCCTGGTCACCGTCTCCTCTTCCCCCTGTTGAGGAGAGCAGACCCCTGCTCAGGAAGTGCAGGGATTGGTACTTTCTGGCTATCAATTTCTTCTTCTTTTTAAAGCTTGTGATTATGAATTGGGTGAAGCTCTACAGAGTGGACCATCCATTTTACATTGTCAGTGGATAGACATTTTATTCCATCTCCTTCACTGCAGTCCCCGAGGGCACCATCGCACCTCCACTTCCTCCTGGCATCTCTCCTCTCCTAACCCTCCTTTCTGAACGTCGTCCTGGGGAGAATGCACCCTTTGGATCTTCGATGGTTGAGGACCCTGAGGTCCGAGTGCCTCACACGTGTTCTAGTTCCCCTCGGAGACCCCGTGTAGTGTTCGCTGAGGTCTGTGCCGTGGTGGGGAGTTCCGTTCCAGACCTGAAAGGTGACAAAGGGCCATGGTCTTGGGGCTCCTGCCAGTAAGCTTGGTCCTCTTCGATGAGCTTAAGTTTTGTTCCACATTGTGCTCCCACTCTACCCGGGACCTTCTGCTGTGACCCTCCTCGGAGCAGTTAGGAGGCCACGCTGGGCACCATCTAGTTCTTCTGGACTCAGGGCTGTGGAGCCAGAGGTGCAGTGGTCCATCGGTCCATCGGCCTAGCAGTTCTCATGCGTCTTTGATGTCCAGTACTCTCCTTGGCTCTGTCTGTTGCAGCTTCGGGGGCTGCTCATGAGCTTTGCAGCCACTAGTCGCGTTGCACCAAAGTAGAGTGGGGAACGTTGTCTTTGTGCACTATGCTATGCCCATTGACCTTGGGGGCCCCCAAGGTGGAAAGGAACTGAGCCGGGGAGGCAGCACATTGGCCTCCGCTTTCAGCCCTTCCATCAGCCAGGTGCCCTTCTACAAGAGCGTTCATCTTCCGATCAAATGGGATGGGTCACTCCTGCTGCCCAGGGGGTCGGCAGACGTCCAGGAAGGATTTGTTGTGGAAGCTGTTTGCTCCTCACCCAGCTTCCCCTCCCCGTTGTCCAGCTGCTGAGAGCGCTGGCTGCTAACAACTCACACTTGCTCCCTTCGCTGGAAAATGGGGGACCTTGACCTGGGAAGGGGGAGGGATCGAAAGCTGGCCCCCTGGCCCCTCAAGAACAAACCAACTCAGCAGTCCCACCGCTGCTCCCGAGGCCCACCTCCCTGGGAGCTCCAGCTGAAGCAGGTCTCCAGCAGGGACCCCCTTTCCCCCAGCTCCTTGCCCTGCCCTGTCCTGCGGCCCTCCCTCCCCATCTCCTGAGAGCCTCCTTCGGTCAGGCTCTTTCATGGCCGTCATCTCGGGCCCCACTTCCTGGGACAGCGTGTACACCAGGGTTCAGTGAAAACCTGCGTAACATATTCATCTGGTTGCCTGGCAGCACAGACACTAGCAGTGCCCAACTCATCCCGTATTCCGGTGACGAGAAAGCACACCTGCCACCGTTTATTTCTCGGTTGTTGCTCCCACCCCACCCACCCCCGGGTATGTGCGATCGTTAATAATAACTGTACCGCGCATCGCGTCACCGCTCATCACGCGCTGATGTTCACGTGCTCAGACGTTCACTCACAGATGCTCAGTGTTTCCAGGTTGAAGCCCCGCTGTGTGCGCAGCTCAGACAGCAAACAGGAAAACTGAAAAATCACTGTAAGCACAAGCATTCGACCAATGTCAGACCCATCCAAGCGGGGAGGGGGGTGGGGGACGACTCTGCCTGGCAGACCGCCCTGGTCTCAGCTCTGTGCTGCGATGGGCACGGTTTCCTCTGCCGGGAATCCCCCCGCCGTTTTCCCCAACAGATGCCCATTTCTTCTCTCCGGGGCACTGCGAATGCCACTCCCTCGGGACGGCCTGCCTGGCCATGGAGTGCGTTTCTCATTCAAAGAGCTCGAAATACCACTTCTGCTAAAGATTTCTGACTTTTGCTCAGAATCCCTGAAAGAGCGTGTATGTGTGTGTGTGTAAGAGTGTGTAAGAAAGAGAAGGAGAAGCCAAGAAAGGGGAACAGGAGGAAGGGGAAACGGAAAACCCAAACCCAGACTCCCTGCCCTCAAGTCCACCCTAGAGGACCGGGGAGAACTGCCCCTCTGGGTCTCCACTGTAACTCTT